TCAGTTGCCTTGTCCACATCAATCGCATTCTTGTGGTGGGTCGGCTTCGACTCTACCCGCTATCATCCTATGTCCTGCCATGCCATGCCATGCCGTGCCATGCCGTGCCATGCCATGCCCTGCCTACCAGGTACATGGGATTGAACAAGTTTACCGGCAGCCTTCCTGAAGCCATTGGCAACATGGTCTCTCTCGGCGACCTGTACGTACGTGTGTCATCAAGCATATACGTGTGTGCCGCCCGGTACGTACGTGTGTGCGCCGCCCACCATGCACTTATGTACTTGATCCAACCATCCCATATTCCATCAGTATCACACCTCGCCCTCCCTCCCTCCCTTCCTTTGCATCCTCTCCTCCCAAAACCCATACCCTCCATCTTTTCCCTCTCCCTCTCCTCATATGCACTCCCTCCACATCATCTCCCCCCTCCCCTTCCTCTGCCTTCACAGCTCCCTGTTCGATAATGAGCTCTCGGGTACTCTGCCCTCTTCTATAGGCCGCCTTACCAATCTCTACAACTTGTGAGCCACCCGTTGCTTGCAGCAGTGCGTGTGAAACAGCAATTGCAACAGGGCATATGAGCGGCCATGTGATGAGATGTGATGTGATGTGATGAGATGTGATGTGATGTGATGAGATGTGATGTGATGTGATGTGATGTGATGTGATGTGATGTGATGCGATGCGATGCGATGCGATGCGATGCGATGCGATGCGATGCGATGCGATGCGATGCGATGTGATGGGATGCGATGTGATGTGATGTGATGAGATGTGATGTGATGAGATGTGATGTGATGCGATGCGATGCGATGCGATGCGATGCGATGCGATGGGATGTGATGGGATGCGATGCGATGCGATGCGATGCGATGTGATGTGATGTGATGTGATGTGATGTGATGTGATGTGATGTGATGTGATGTGATGTGATGTGATGTGATGTGATGTGATGTGAGTGGTCCTGTCCTCCGATACTGCACTTGTCAGTTTTGCAGCTCGTGAAGGCTTTTCAACGCTGAGGTCGGCCCATATCTTACCATTTCTCTCAAGCTTCGTGTCTCATCTCATTCACCTTCTTTCTCAATCATTCTAATCTCAGTCGTATCCATCTCATCCCTGCGTGTGTGTGCCCACTGCCCCCCATGCGCATGACTGCGTGCAGGGCACTGTCAAGGAACCGCCTGTCAGGGACTCTCCCCAACTCTTTCTCCAACATGCCCAGCCTCGGCTCCATGTGAGTCGCAGCTCCATGTGGGTCGCAGCTCCATGTGGGTCGCAGCTCCATGTGGGTCGCAGTTGCTTGCCACGCCATGCCATGCTATGCCATCCCATGCTACACCATGCCATGCCATCCCATAGGCACCGCCATGAACTGCCACCATCCTGCCAATCAACCTGCATCCATCATACCACTCGCCTGCCATTTCTGCCACGGAGCAGCGTAGCAGCAAACCCCTCTGCCAGCGTAACCTACACCTCCTCGCTTTTCACCGTATTGACTGTCTCCCCACACACCCATCCACCCCTCCACCCCACATCCCCATGCCCCACTCCCCATAGCTTACACCCCCAGATGCCCCATGCCTCACAACCCCATGCACCGTACCCCATGCCTCACAACCCCATGCACCACACCCCATGCACCACACCCCATGCACCACACCCCATGCACCGCACCCCATGCACCCCCCCCTCCACGACAGTCTACTGGACAGCAACATGTTGACGAAGTTGCTAGCTCCCCTCGCTGCTTTTGAGCCGCCCCAAAGGATTCCATGCCCCCCCCCCCCCCCCCCCACGGCAGCCTACTGGAAAAAAACATGTTTACGGGGTCGCTGGCTCCCCTCGCTGATGTCTCCTCCCTCAGCGCCATGTGAGCACTTCTCTCCTCCCTCACCACTCACTTCACCACTCACCTAGTCAGTCAGCTAGTTAGTTAGCTCGTCAGTCTCACAGAATCATTCTGTCAACTGTTGGCCTCACACAGAGAAAGAAGATAACTTTGTTTTTTTTTTTTTTGCTTCACCTGTGCCCCTACAGGAGGATCTGCACAAAACCGTCACAGTTAGGTTCAATCTGTTCTCTTCTTTTCCATATCATATCTCTCCTCGTAGACCCTATGCATACCAAAACGTCGTCCTTCCCACCTTCCGAAAAGTCTTCCCCGCTCTGTCAATCTCTCATTCGTGTATCTCCCCATGCCCACCCTCAGCTTCCTGTGCTGCAACCGCTTCAATGGGACCATACCGCCCACCTTCTCCTCCAATGTCTTCACTGACATGTACGCCTTTTGCTACACCTGCCATGTGCTGTGCCGTATCTCATGTGCCATGCGCCATGCGCCATGTTCTTTTAAGGCGCCTCAAAAGGTTTCAATGGGGCCATACTGGCCACCTCTCGCCAGCAAGCGCATCCCGTATCGGCATCTTCCCTTTCTCCATCCCATCTCAGGCCCTTGATGGCACGCCACTCAACACACCATCTTCTCTCTTTTCCCCCTACCTTATCCACACCCACCCCCACCCCTCCCCCCCAATCATGGCCTACCAGTGACGTGTCAGTGAACAATCTCACAGGGCCACTGCCATCCTTTTTTGAGTCGACTGAAACTGTCCTCCCTCCTCCCACACCCACCCCTCCCCCCCAATCACCGTCTACCAGTGACGTGTCAGTCAACGACCTGACAGGGCCCCTGCCATCCGGCCTCAGGTTCTCCGAACCTCCTGGCGGCCCGAATTTGTGAGCCTTTCTAGAACTAAGCCCTTGGCTTCTGAGCCATGAATTTCTGGAGGAACTTTCTTTCCTCCCATCAAAATGTCTGTCCTCCCATCCATCCAAATCTCGCTCCTCCATTCCAACTTTCCTTCCTCTCATCCAAATCACTTTCCTCGTGTCCCTGTCATTTTCATCCAGTCTCTGTGTGCCTCTGTGCGTCCCTGGGCACCCGTATGCGCCCCTGCCCCCTCCCCTGTGCGGCCCGGTGTGTCTGACAGCAACGCATCATTCAACCGCCTCTCGGGGGAAATCCCCTTCGACTTCAACGTCAATTTCTTCTTCACCCTGTACGTTGCCCTTGACATTTCTGATGCACTTTCCCCTCCTTGCACTGCTGAGAACTCTCCAAAGCCACATGCAACAGGTCGGCGTTTCCTCCTCTCCCTTGAAAAAACTGTGGGCATTCAAATGGAATATGAAGAGCACAGCAAAGCTGGGGTCGTGATGTGAGAAACACCACCAAAACTAGGCAATCTGCTATCTCTCAGAAGGCAATCTGCTATCTCTCAGAAGGCAATCTGCTATCTCTCAGAAGGCAATCTGCTATCTCTCAGAAGGCAATCTGCTATCTCTCAGAAGGCAATCTGCTATCTCTCAGAAGGCAATCTGCTATCTCTCAGAAGGCAATCTGCTATCTCTCAGAAGGCAATCTGCTATCTCTCAGAAGGCAATCTGCTATCTCTCAGAAGGCAATCTGCTATCTCTCAGAAGGCAATCTGCTATCTCTCAGAAGGCAATCTGCTATCTCTCAGAAGGCAATCTGCTATCTCTCAGAAGGCAATCTGCTATCTCTTAGAGAGCTGAGCCTTTGGCAAGCCCCCACCACCGTTGCCATCCACCTCTTGCCTAACCCAAGCCTTACCTTACCCACCCCCTAACCTTGACGCCACCCTTCCCCCCCCCACCCCCACCCTCACTCTCCTCCTTTTCCCCACTCCCAAACCCTCTCTCTACACGTTTTAAGGAAGCTGTTTTTCGCATGGCACGTTGTCTGCTCTTTTTTGAAGTGCTAAAATGCTGCCCGTCCCGTGCCTTTGTTCCCCTTCCCAGTGACATCTCTCACAACAATTTGTCGGGCAGAGCGTTCTTTTCGGGGCAACAGGAGAGTCCTAAAACTTTCACCATGTGCGTGAGATGTTTATGCAGCATGGTGGTAAATGCGTGAGCAGCAGTCACCCACAGCAACACATGGGCATCAGCCACTGACTCTGTGACAAACTGTGCCAACCATTCTGCACAGACAATCCGTCCACCATCGCACCAAGCACCATTCCTTCCCATCATCTCAACAACCTCATCCCCTCACACCAGTGCAACCATTCTCTCTCACACACACCCATGCCTGCTCTTTCATCCACCACTCTCCGTTCCCCACCGTGTCTCCCAACCCCCCTGCACCCATCACCATCCCCTCTTCCCTCCCGTTCATCCCCTTGGTACTGTTCTCCTCCATCCGCCAGCAACTATTCACACAACAGATTCTCAGGAGCGATCGACCCCTCCCTCTCCACGCTCACGTACCTCCACGACCTGTGCGTTGCCCTGCCTGCCTGCCCTTCCCACCACTCTGATCGTTTTTTTTGCTCTTTGTTTTCCCAAACATCGCTCGTTCTGAAAACCTGCAGCCTCGCCTTCGCATCCCTCGATTCGCTGCGTCAAACACATGGATTCCCCCTGCACGGATTCCCCCTGCACGGATTCCCCCTGCACGGATTGCCCCTGCACGGATTCCCCCTGCACGGATTCCCCCTGCACGGATTCCCCCTGCACGGATTCCCCCTGCACGGATTCCCTCTGCACGGATTCCCCCTGCACGGATTCCCCCTGCACCGAGTCCGCCTGCACCGAGTCCGCCTGCACCGAGTCCACCCCTCACCAGTTGCACTCGTCTACCTCTCCTCCGCTATCAGCGCCCATACTCTCCTCGTCTCCCGGCCACCGGGTCCCTCTGTCCCCTCCATTTCCCCAGGAACATGTCGGGCAACCTTCTCACGGGGTCCATTCCAGCCTTCATTTCGCTCCTCACCAACCTCACTCTGCTGTATGCCCTCACTCACTCTGCTGTATGCCCTCACTCACTCTGCTGTATGCCCTCACTCACTCTGCTGTATGCCCTCACTCACTCTGCTGTATGCCCTCACTCACTCTGCTGCATGCCCTCACTCACTCTGCTGTATGCCCTCACTCACTCTGCTGTATGCCCTCACTCACTCTGCTGTATGCCCTCACTCACTCTGCTGTATGCCCTCACTCACTCTGCTGTGTACTATGCATGCATGGGGCCAATGGCTGTGGGTGGGAGAGCCAGCTGGAGTGAAGAGAGTATCTCACTTCACTTTTTCTTCTCGCCTTGCCTTTCCCCCCATCCGCCTCTCTCCCGTACTCACTGCCATCAATCACCCCTCTTTCCACTCTTTACCTCGACACCTCTCACTTTCCTCTCCCCTGCCCCTGTGGGCGCCCTCCCCACCTGCAGCGACCTCTCCTCCAACCAGTTGACTGGGGCCGTGCCGCCAGCTATCAGCAACCCCACTAACCTCGTCAGCATGTGAGATGACATGTCAGCATGTGAGGTGACATGTCAGCATGTGAGATGACATGTCAGCATGTGAGGTGTCCCTGTCATGTCAGCAGGTGAGGTGCCACGTCCGCATGTGAGATGGCATGCTGAGCATGTTCGGTGGTGTTAGCTCGTAGGACATTGTACATCAGATTACAAGGCACATCTCTGTCACTTCTTATTATTGACAACTCCTGTTCCTATCCACCCCGCCCACCCCTGCCCGCCCCTACCCACCCCCGCCCACCGCGTCCCCCCCGTGACCAGCAACCTGGCACACAACCTGCTGCAGGGCTCCATTCCCCGGGCCCTCTCCCGCCTCGCCTCCCTCACCTACCTGTGCGCCCTCTTCTCCCTTGCTCGCCACTGCTCCATCTCGCCATGCCATGCCACGCTCCATGTCATGCCATGTCCGTCCACCCAATTCTCCCAGTGACACGCCCACCAGTGTTCCATACGCCATGCCTTGTGCAAAAACCATCACTTGATGCCCTATACCCCATATTCCACACCCTTAACTTTATACCCCAAACCCCATACCCCATGCATGCCCCCTCCCAGCAACGTGTCGTCCAATCAGCTGTCAGGAGACATCACAGCGGCCCTCTCTCCTCTGCGCTCCCTCGAGATTGTGTGAGGCGCTCGTGTGGGGTGGGGTGTGGGGCTTGTGGGCTGGGGCTTGTGGCATGGGGCATGGGGCATGGTGCATGGAGCATGGGTCATTGGGCATGGTGCGTGGGGCATGGGCGTGGGGCATGATACATGGGCAGGGGGCACATTGTACCAGCTTATCACACCATTGATTTCCCCATGCTATATCACCGCTGCTCTACACCCCCCCCTCATTTTCCCGTCTCCCCTCAACTCCCATCGCTTCGTCTCCCCCAAATCCCTGTCATTTACCCCCCATGCCCTGCCAATCTCCCCCATCCCCCCATGCCCCGCAGTGACATCTCATCCAACACATTGAATGGCTCTGTCCCCCCCTTCTTTGGTCGCATGCCCAACATGACCCACCTGTATGTATCAGCATAACACATATGTATGGCGCAGCAAACCAGTTCTAAACGTGGAGCATGCCATGTCATCCTATGTTAGGCCAGGTCATCCTATCCCATGCCAGCCCTGTCATGACAGTACACGGCCATCCGTGTGGCCATCCGTGTGGCCATCCGTCCCCCTGCTTTCACGCGAGCCAGAACATGTGCATCTGCATCATCCACCCATGGCCCCATGCCCCCCAGCGACCATAATATGTCCATTGCCTCACCTTGCCCATCCCATGCCACGCCATGCCATGCCACACCACGCCATGCCACGCCACGCCATGCCATCCACGCCACACCACAGCATGCTATGGCAGGGACATGGCCATCAACCACCCACCCATGGCCCCATGACCTGCTGTGGCCATAGCATGTCTACTCCCTATCTTCTCCACGGCTCCTCTTGCCACGCCATCACTATGGCAGGGACATGGCCATCAACCTGCTCTCCGGCTCGGTGCCTCCCTCGATTTTCAACCTGCGACGCCTCTCCCACCTGTCAGTCAACTTCCCTATCTATACCCACCACCATTAATTTCTTGTATCTAGCAACCAGCCATTCATCTTGGATTTCTGCCCCTTCGCCATCCATCCTCACATTGTCCCCCCTCCTCCCCTCCACCCTTTCTCCCTCTCTCTGTCCTCTGCTACCGCCCATCATCCCAGCAACGTGTCTCGCAACCGCCTCTCAGGCCCTCTACCCAACGCTGCTGCCAGCCCAGCTCTCATCATGTGCGTATGCCCAAGTAACGATTAGGGCCCTGGTAACCACGAGAGCCCTGGTAACCACGAGGGCCCTGGTAAACACGAGGGCCCTGGTAACCACGAGGGCCCTGGTAACCATGAAAGCCCTGCCAATCTACCATTTGAATTGTGTAAGTCAATATCTCCATCCCCTCTCCCCCCCTTCTCATCCTGCACCCTCCCTTTCCTTGTGCTGGTTTTCTCAACCCTCCTCGCTTTCTTCGTCCTCCCATTTCCTCCCAACCACGTGTCCCTTCTCCCCATTTCCGCCCACCCATGTCTCTCTCCCCTCTCTCTTCCACAGCGACCTCTCATTCAACACGCTCTCAGGGACGCTGGAGAGCCAGCAAGTCAACCTGAAGCGACTGGCATTGCTGTGAGTGCCACCACGTGCTGTTCCTCTCACTGTCGTGCGCCAGCTTCTCTGCTTGTGTGACTTTGAGCTGCACTCCTCTCGCTTCCTCGTCTTGCTTGGCTCGCTCTGTGCTCTTTCTCTCCCCTGCCCCGCGCATGCCTCCCCCCAGTTCTTGCCCAGCCAGCCCCTATTGGCCCCCTCGCTTCCCGCCCGCCAACCTTCCATGCCCCAACCTCTCAGCCAACCCATGTTGCCTCCTTTGCTCCATCGTGCTTCCTACCCGTCCCTGCTGGCAGGGCGGTGCACCACAACCAGATCTCTGGCCTCATTCCCCATGCGCCCTCCTGCTTCCTGCCCACCCAACCCAACCCTCATGCCCAACCCCCGTCCCCAACCCAACCCCCATGCTCAACCCCCATGCCCTACCCCCATGCTTCTCCCTGCAGGGCAGTGCACCACAACCAGCTGTCAGGCCCCATCCCCGAGTACCTCTGCCAATCAGTGCTACAGATCATGTAACGCCCACACCTCAATCCCTGTACCATTCACACTATGCTAGTCGCTCCGATGATTTCGCAGTCACTCTGCGCTGGCTGCCTTGTCTCTTTCGGGTTCTGTCATGACTCCTTCAACACACACCATCCATCTTGTTTGTTTCCTCACCTCCTCGCTCCCCTCAACCACTTCCTTTCTCCCACGTTCTCGTGTTGACTCTTTGGACCCACCTCCCATATACCCTCCACTCCCCACCTCCTCCACCTCCCATACCCCCTTTTCCACCTCCCCATCTGCCCTTCTGTCCACCTGCAGGCTCCTGAGCAGCAACGCCTTCTCGGGAGCCCTTCCTCAGTGTCTGCCCTTCATCTCCTCCGTCCAACTCATGTCCGTTCCACCCGTCATCCTTCACCTTTCCTCGTCCCCCTTGACTCTGTTCCTCCTCCTGTTGTTACGTTGAAACTGCTTCCTAACCTTCCCAGCCAGCCTCTGCTCCCAGTCTTTCATCTCTGCCCTGCCCCCCTGCCCCCCCTTTCTCTGCGCCTGTCCTGTCTCCCAGTGACGTCAGCAACAATTTGCTCTTCATGGATGCCGCATCCTTCCAAAACATGCCGCCCATCAGCCTGGACCTCAGCGGCAACTACCTCTATGGCTCCCTCTCCCCCTCCCCCAACATCACCCTCTCCTCCTCCTCCTCCTCCTCCTCCTCCTCCTCCTCGCCGCCCATCCCCTCTCTCGTCCTCCCAGCGACCCCCCAACCCCAGTCCCTTCCCCCCTGGGCAGTCCAGGATGCAACGAACTCTGAGTGGGCGTGGGTATGGCAGGGGGGGCAGCAGGGGGCAACTGGAGCAGGAGGGGCGAGCGGGGGGAATATTAGCAGCGCAGCGGCGTGGCTGGCAGTGGAGGGCAACTGTTTGGGGAGTGAGGTTGTGGGGCAGCAACGTGGAGCAACAGAGTGTGCGGCGGTGTGTGGGATAGAGCCAGGGCAGGGCCCCTGTGGGGGTGCGGGTGCGGGGCAGTGTGTGGTGCAGAGCGGTTGGCCACCGTCCCTCTCCTGCTCCTGCGCCAGTGGCTACGTTGCTGTCACTGCTGCCGGCACTGCCAACACCACCACTTGCGAGCTGCCACCCCCTTCCCCTTCCAGTATGTTCAGTCAGTGGCTTGGGCTGGTCTCCCAGCTTCTCAGCAAATGGTTTGAGACGTCTCAAAACACTTCTTTTACTCGCGTGGGCTGCTGTCCCGGCTTCCCAGCAGATAATCGCCTCCGCTTGCGTGCTTTTATTTGCACCACACAGCCCCCTCTCCCCCTGTCTCTTAGTCGTATCAACCCCCTCCATCCATCCCTCTCCATTCTCCCCCACTCGCCCCCTCCGCAGCGTCCTCGTCGGGGCTGTCAGCAGGGGCGGTGGCGGGCATAGTGGTGGGCAATCTGCTGCTGCTCGCTACTCCCCTCTATCCCCCATCTCCCTTCCTCCCACTCCACACCCCCCTCCTCTCTCTCTGCAGCGTCCTCGTCGGGGCTGTCAGCAGGGGCGGTGGCGGGCATAGTGGTGGGCGTTGTGCTGCTGCTCGCAGCTGTCGCTGGCCTTCTCTTCTTCTTCCTCCGCCCCTCTAAGAGAAGTCAGTCAGAATCACCACCTTGCACCACCTTTGCACCACCTTGCACCACCTTGCACCACCTTTGTTCTTCCTTGCGTCGCTCTCATTGCACCTACAACAGTATCGAACCGCATCACACCAACACCTCACCGCATCAAACCGACACCTCACCGCATCACACCTCATCACACCTCATCACACCTCGCCATCACCAACCTTCACAGGTCAGGCCCTGCATCGTCTTGACTCTTCACCATCTTCCACTCCCTCTGCCCCCGCTCCCACTTCCCGCTTCTCCACCCCTCACCCCATCTCTCATGGTCGTTGGACCTGGACCAGTGTGTGTGGCGCCACCAACGGCTTCTCCTTGCCCTGTTTGGCACATCACTCACTCTTTCCTCTCCCTCCCAAACCCACCTCCCTCCCACCTCAGGGTCGTTGGATTTGGACCAGTGTGTGGCGTTCCGCATAGAGGATATACGCCGCGCCACCAACAACTTCTCCCCGGAAAGCAAGCTGGGTGAGGGTGGCTTCGGAAGCGTCTTCAAGGGCACCGCCCCCGACGGCACCCTGTGGGCCATCAAGCGCGCCAAGTTCCTCACCAACGACTTCGAGAAGGAGGTGCGTGAGAGGGGGGAGGGAGGGAAAGAGTGGAGGGTTTGAAGGTGGGTACGTAAGGGAGTGATATGAGGCACCCTGTGGGCCATCAAGCGCGCCAAGTTCCTCACCCACGACTTTGAGAACGAGGTGAGACGAGGGGAGGAAGGGAGGGAGAGAAGGAGGGGGAATGTGGGCACGGAGGGGAGCGGAAGTAGGCATATTTCGAATGAGCGTTTGAAACGCGAGTGCAGGAGATTGGTGAGAGCAGGAATATAGTGTGCCTTATCTCTTGTCATATTCCATCATGTCTGTTTGTCCCTGTCACTCCATCCCTCATCCCTCCTCCCCACCACCCCTCGCGCAGGTGCGAGCAGTGGCGACGCTGCGGCACTAGCATCTGGTGCAGCTGCTGGGGTACTGCATGGATTACAATGCGGCCACGGGCCACCAGGAGCACCAATCCACCATCCCTCCCCCGTCCCCCCTCCCCACCCAACCCCCTGTGCAGGTGCGAGCAGTGGCAACGCTGCGGCACCAGCACCTGGTGCGGCTGCTGGGGTACTGCATGGACTACAACGCGGCCACGGGCCACCAGGAGCAGATCCTCGTCTACGAGTTTGTTCCCCACGGCGACCTCTCCCACTACCTCCACGCAGGGGACGCCCCCCCTGGTTCCACCCGCGTGTCGCTCTCCTTTGAAGAGCTCGTGCGCATTGCTCAGGGCGCGGCGGAAGGCCTGGCATACCTGCACCACTCGCTCTCCCCTCCAATTGTTCACCGCGATGTGAAGCCCGCGAACATTCTCATTGGCGAGAGCCGCACCGCGAAGCTGGGTGATTTCGGGCTGGTTAAGATGGATAACCTGGAAAATGCGACGAACCTGGCGGGCACGCCTGGGTACATGGACCCGGATTATGGTGACAGCAAGATTGTGACGACGGCGAGTGACGTGTTCAGCTTCGGAGTGGTGCTGCTGGAGATGGTGTCGGGGAAGCGGGCTGTGCTGGATGAGAGTGACATCGCCTTCAGCAACCGTCACATCTCCATCTGGGTACGGACGGACCTTAGTGCTGAGCACCGTCTTAGAAATCGCCACGTCTTGCAAAGCAAATTCTCCTTGCATTCTTGGCTAACTTTGAAGTTTGAACTCGCATTCTTGTTTCACCTGTGCAGGCGAACGAGCTTGTGATGACAGGCAAGATCACCCAAGTGGTGATGGAGGACCTGAAGGCGCCACCGGATGCCATCATCATGTTTGTCGATCTCGCCATGGATTGCTTGAAGCGACCTGGAGCCTTGAGGCCGGAGATGCGGGAAGTGGCACGGCGCCTCACCAACATCCTTGCCGTTGCACAAGGAAATGCGCCGGTGGGAGCTCTGATGAAGCAGAAGTCATGGGCGGGAAGTGCCGGGAACGGTTCAAGCGCCAAAGCTGTAGATGAAGCAGCGGAACCGTTTAAGAAGGAAATTGCTTAGTTTTAGTTTTCTTTATTTCGTTCTTTCTTTTGCTTCGTGTGCTTCTGATTAGAAACACCTCGCACAGTATGCAGCAAATGTCGTACCTTCGATTTTACACTTCTTGACATGATGTTGTTGTTCGGATGAACTGAATTGATAATTCCATTGTAATTGTTGCCATTTGTGCAAACTCAACAGGGATGCTCAGAAAATCTGGATCTGGACCAGTGTGTGGCATTCCGCATAGAGGATATTTGCCGCGCCACCAACAACTTCTCCCCGGAAAGCAAGCTGGGTGAGGGTGGCTTTGGCAGCGTCTTCAAGGGCACCGCCCCCGACGGCACCCTGTGGGCCATCAAGCGTGCCAAGTTCCTCACCAACGACTTCGAGAAGGAGGTGAGACGAGGGGGGGGAGGGAGGGTGGAGGTGGGCTTGATTGTTTGAGAAGGTGATTGGCAGGTAAGAGGTGATAGCAGGCAATACCTCGTCTCAGACATCGTGCCATGTCTGTTTGCCCTTCACATTGTATCCCTCATTCCCCTCCCAACCATCCCTCATGCAGGTGCGAGAAGCGGCGATGCTGCGGCACGAGCACCTGGTGCAGTTGCTGGGGTACTGCATGGACTACAACATTGCCACAGGCCACCTGGAGCAGATCCTTGTCTACGAGTTAGTCCCCCACGGCAACCTCTCCCACTACCACCACTCTCCTCCTGGTGCAACCCGAGTGTCCCTCTCCTTTGAGGAGCTCGTATGCATTTCACTGGGTGTGGCAGAAGGGCTGGCATATACCTCCACCACTCGCTCTATCCTCCTATCGTGCATCGCGATGTGAAGCCCGCGAATATTCTCATTGGCGACGGCAAGATGGCGAAGCTGGGCGATTTTGGGCTGGTTATGACGGATAATCCGGAGGTTGCGATGCCTGGGTACTTGGACCCTGAGTATGGTGACGGCAAGATTGCAAGGACCGCAAGTGATATGTATATTTTCAAAAGCTGTAACGCTTTTTAAAATTATGTATTTTGAAAGCGAAGCTGCCTGTAATGTAGGATTTGGCAGCGTCGAGCCGCGCTAAATGCCCGTTTTGGAGTACAAAACGTGGGTTGGAGGTCATTTCCCTCCACCCACGTCTCTCATTTCAGACGGTTTAGCCGATCTGAAGTCTCAATTTTCATTCTCAATTTTCGTCTCCCTTTCCAAGCTGGCGAAGTTGAAGTCTCTTCCCCGTTTTCAATCTCCGCCGACTTTACTCTCGGACATCTTCGCACACAACGCAGCAGCTATGGCACTTAACGGCGGCGAGGTTAATACCACTACCGCCCCCGCTCGACCCGAGTCCGGAAGGAACGCTCGCGAAATTGCGGGCGATCGCCCGAACAAGCGCCGGGCTGACGACGGGGAAATTTCCCCGACTGGCGTCGACGTCCTGCTCGGCTCGACTGAGGCACACGCCACGGGCGTCGAGGCACACGCCCCTGGTGTGCCTCGAGCCCCTGTGGCCCCTGACGCGCCGGCCACGACAGAAGGCGCCAAATCGGCGCCAACCAGCGCAGCCGGCACCCCGCGTCCGCGTCAGCGCCGCAGGCCCGTGGGCCCTGACGCGCCTGTGGGCCTTGACGCGCCTGTGGCGCCTGACGCGCAAGTGGCGACGGGTGCCCAAGTGGCGCCAACTTTTTCTGCAGCCCAACTGCAGCAGCTTCTGTCCCTGTTACAGCAGCACGCCCCTGGTGTTACTGAAGAAATAGCTACACCGAACGCGACTTCCGTTTCTGCTAAAAGCGAAAAGGCGAAAACGGAGCCCGTCAAGCGCGCTCTTACGACGAAAACCGGAAGGGGCGAAGACACGCGCGCCGCCGCCACTCCAGTCATGAACAACCCTATCGACAGCGACAACGAAGGCGACGATGATGGTGAGGGACATGCCGTAAATGCCTCTTTCGCACCCACTGAGCAACTCCCCCCACTCCCCTCACCCAATCCCACTCTAACCGCCGCCTCGTTCAAGAACGCTGCCGTGCGCGAGCAAGCCGAGGTCCTGGAACACCTGCGGGCGTACCTGAAGCATGCGGAGCACAAAGTGCGACACAACGAGCTGGAAAGCGCCCTCGAATACCGTGGTGAAGCCTTCACACTCATCAACAACCGCTTCAAGCTACTCCATGTCGCCGACTACACCAACTTCCGCACCGCAAATCGCTTCAAGCTCTATGAAGACAAGATTGTCTTCACCTCACGCCCGTTCAAGCAGGTCGTCGCGGACGTGGCGGCCATGGAGCGCGCCCAAGGCAATTTCACTCGCACTCCACGCGGCGGAGGGCGCGGGCCCATGGCATTTGGCAACAAGCGCGGTCCCCCACTTGACGGCAATGGCAGGAGCTTTCGTGGCGCATGCTTCCGTTGTGGGCAGCCGGGCCACATGGCCAATGCTTGCCCGGAAAATGGGGGGGGAGCCCAAGGGCCGGCGTCGGTGGTGTGAACACCCTAGGGGGTGGTGCCGAGAGGCTCGAGTGAGGGTGATGGCACTAGGTAGTGCGAGGCCGCTGGCCTATCCCATAGGGGATGTGAGAAAGGCCGCGGGCCTACCCCAAGGCAAGGGGCGTAGGACTAGGAGTCCTAGGTGAACATGTGATTGGAAATAATGTTTGTATGCTCTTATGAATGAGTGGAAAGGCCTAATGGGCGAAGTCGTTGGACTAGCTTGAAAAAAAAAAAAAAAAAAGTGGGAGCATGCGCTCTTGATGCGTGGACCTGAAACAACACCCGCACGGCATGGAGGCCTACGGTACACGCGAATTAGAAAGCGAGAGAAGGAGAGAGAAAGCGAGCGTAAAAAAAAAAAAAAAAAAAAAAAACGGAAATCGGTAAGATGTTTGGGCTATGCACCCATACAACGCAAAGGAATCACGTGCGAAGGGGGGGCAAACGGAAACGAGATGGTAGGGGACTTGGGGTCCCACAATACCACGAGCACACGCCATTATGCAAGACAAAGGTGGCCAAGAGAGAGAGAGAGAGAGAGAGAGAGAGAGAGAGAGAGAAAGAGAGAGAGAGAGAGAGAGAGAGAGAGAGAGAGAGAGAGAGAGAACGCCTTGTTCAAAGGCTAAGGCCAGAATCATCGAGTTGGGTGGCAAGTGTCACCACTCTCACGCGATTGGTCCAGAGTTTGACTTGGTTTTTTTGCCAGGATTGGCTTCCGAGTTTCTAACCAAACCTACTGCCTGGGTCTTTGTCTAAACCTACCATTCCCAATCGACTTCCTGGTGTGATTTGGGTCTTGGGTTTTTAACGAGGCATGCCCCATGTTGCCCCCACACCCCATGGTCCAATGGCCACAGATTTGCCAGGGGATGGAATGATCGAGGGGCGTGGCCCCTACGAGTTTGCGATCACTGACAAGGTCGTCACGACCATGCGTGGGCGCCTGCGCACGGCATTTCCATGGTGGAGCTCATGGTGTGAGAGTAGTTTCATACTCTCGGTAATCTCCAACGGCTATTGGATGCCATGGAAGCATGGCCCACCCACGCCGTTCCGGCAGGACAACCACGCGGGAGCGCTAATTCATTCCACGTTCACCAAGCAGGCAATAACCGAGCTTCTCGAGAGTGGTGCGGCCGCTCCCGTCCCAACGGAACAACAGCTATGTATTAGCCCGCTGAATGTCGTGGTTCAAAGAGAAAAGTGCCGGCTGATTCTTGACCTCCGACGGGTGAACCAACATCTGTGTATCCCCAAATTCAAGTACGAAGGACTGAACCGGGTGGCGGAGCTCGTTCACGAAGACGACTGGATGTTCGCAGTCGATTTAAAATCAGGATACCACCACGTTGACATCCACCCTTCCTGCTGGAAGTTCCTCGGGTTCCAATTCGACGGGCGCTCGTACGTTTTTCAGTCTCTGCCATTTGGTCTGGCGACAGCCCCGTTCGTTTTCACACAGCTCATCAAGCAGCTCGCCCGTCGTTGGCGGGCACTTGGGGTGCGAGTCATCCCTTACGTCGACGACATCCTCTTTCTGTGTCGCACGGCAGCAGAAGCGAGAACCACGAGTCAGATGGTGGTGCAAGACCTCAGCAAGGCGGGACTGGTTATCAATTCTAAGAAGTCGCACCTGCAACCCACCCAGCAACTGCGTTTTTTGGGTGTCGAGTTGGATACACAACGCGGCCAGTTCTCCATTGGCCCCAAGCGGCGAGCATCATTACGCTCAACCATTCATGAATTATGCATGGCCGGCAAGGCCGAACGCAAAGTTTCGATCCGCCACGTCGCCAGAGTTACCGGCATGCTCGCGTCGATGTCACTTGCCATCGGCGCAACCGCACGTGCATTCAGCCAGAACCTATTACAGACCATTCAAGATGCCCCTTCCTGGAACAGCAGAGTGCAGTTGGTCCCCGCGGTCATTGAAGAGCTCGAGTTTTGGCTGCATGAATTTGACAAATTCAATGGCGCCCCGTTCCACGTCCCGAACAGCTACGATGCAGTGATCCATGTGGACGCCAGCGCACACAGTTGGGGAGCGACACTAGATTCGTTCCCGGGAAGGCGCATTGAGGGAGCGCAACCATGCCCGTGCACCTCACAAAAGCCTCAGCACGCAACGAGAAATGGATGGAGTTCTATGGGCGCTGCAGACATTCTCGGGAAGGATCCAGGACCGACATGTCCTCGCCAGAACCGACAACCAAGGTGTCTTCTTTATCCTTCGCAAAGGTGGTTCGCGGACTCCGAGCCTCACAACAACGTGCAGAGCCATTATTCAAGCGTGCGTTGCCTTCCATATTCGGTTGACGGTCGAATGGATTCCGCGCGAACTCAACACACGAGCTGATAAACTTTCAAAGATGATCGATCGAGACGACTACGCACTCAAAGCACCATGGTTCCGGCTTATTGAACGGCGCTTGGGACCGCACTCTATCGATCTATTTGCCAATGCAAACAACACCCAGCTGGCTCGCTTCTGCGCCAAAACCCCTCATCCCGACGCAGAGGCAACTGATGCCTTCTCCCTATCATGGGCCTCCGAGCATGCATACGCCTTTCCGCCACCCCACCTCATCCCAGCGGTGTTGCATCACGCCCAAAGGACGCGAGCGTCGCTCACGCTCGTCGTGCCTCACTGGCCAGGGGCAAGCTGGTGGCCGTTACTACAACCTGCTCCGCCCCAATGGGCTGCCTGCATTCTCGCCCACATCCGCCTCACCCACGGGAGCCAATGCCTGTCCGCAGGCACCCACACCCGCGCCTTTTCTGGGGAAGGATTGCCGCACAGCCCGATTATTGCATTACGAGAGTCCTTCTCCACCTGACCATTCACACATCTGGTGCAGGATTGCTCGAGAAGCTCAAGCAAGAATTGCTTCGGATAACCACGCGTACGAGGGCTGACTCGACGATTCGCACCTACGAACCATACTGGGCCAAGTTTCGCGCATTCTGCACACACGTCAAATTGCAGTTCCTGCCATGCACAGACATGACACTCGCATTATACCTGGTCCACGCGATTCAACAGAAGGCCACCATATCGGCAATACAACTGACATGCTCGGCAGTCAGCTTTGCGCATCGGATGATTGGGGCCACGTGCCCGTCGACTGGGCCATTCACATCCAACGTGCGAGACTTCGCCAAGCGACATTGCCCGCGGCCCCAGCGTCTCAAGGAACCCGTCTCTCTACATCAAGTACACGCGATGGCGGCGGAATTCCTGGAATCGAACAAGCCTGGCGAGTTTCAGAAGGGGCTCATTCCGTTACTCATGTACTCCGGCTTCCTACGATACTCAGACCTCGCCGCACTTAACTGGCACGAGATTGAGTTCGA